TAGAAATATTTAAAATTTACTTTCCTGTACAACAATCAAATGGCTTTCGTAAAGTACCTTATTTCTACTCTGTTTACACAAAACTGTTCTGTGCAAACTTGAATGTTGAAACAATCCTGGGAAGTAATCTGAGCTTGTTGATAGATAAATTCAGGTACTGAAACATGTAAGTCACCAAATGTTCTCCTGAGGATTGTGAAGTGCATTGGACTAAATTGCATCTTGTGATAAAAAACTGTTTTACAGTCCTGCGCTTTGCCAGATACTTGGCTTTTTTCCTTTAAGGCCTTGGATCTGTTTCTGCTTAACCATGAAATGACTATTCTAGTTCTGTAAATTCTGTCAGATTCTTATTGTCTCCCTTTCCTTTTGGCTGCTTGTGCAGAACCCAAGTAGCAGCCTTCTTACCAACAAGCAGGCAAGAGTGAGCATAGTAATTCAGATGGGTTTCTCTTTTTTTTACAGTTACGAAAATGGAAGCCAGTAGTTGGAGCTTATTCTCAGTGATACCTGTGGGATGTGATCGGACTAGCTAGGGACAAGAATATCAGGTCTTTTGTCCCCAGATCTCTTTTGACCTCAATTTGCAACCAAAATAAATAAATTTATAGGTTGGGTTTATTCCCTGCTTGTTTTTAAATCTCTGGTTATTTACGTGTTTCTAATACAAAAGCTAAATAACTAGCAATGTGTCAAAATGTTTTTCTGAACAGCTTAAGCCAATTGAAAAGTATGCATTGAATTTCTTGGAATTGTTTCATACTTTGAATGATCAAGACAGCCAGAAAGTCAACAAGGTAAGAGACTATATCTCATTTTCTGAGTAATCAAGAAAATCAAAATGGAAAACCCCAACTATTGTCAGATTTTATTTTTTGTTTATTTGGGGGTTTTGTTTGGGTTTTTGTTTATGGGCACTGAAATTTTGATCCAAATGATCATGGGGTAAAACCACACTGATTCCTAATTAACAGGGAGACGTGGTTCTGTTCTTCTCTTTACTGGCATGAGGGCCTTACACAAGAATGAAAACACAGTTTAACTAACCTTGCCATGACTGTTAGCCTATAAAAACTGAACTTATTATGTAGTTACCAGACTCAAATCTGTGGCGATTTACTGCTGTTGGCATATTCATTGTGAAAAGTGGTCATATTTTGAAGTGTACAAATTTTCTTCCTAAAAGGATTTAAAAACTGCAAATGCAAAATGGGAATATCAGCATGCCAAGGAGCTGAAAAAGGCAGAAGAAAGATTTCAGCAGGAAGTGAAAGAGGAACTCTTAACGTATACCAGAGAAGATGCTTATAACATGGTAACATCAAGGGAGCTCCAAGTCCCTGCTTTTCAAAGAGTTTCCATATTATGACTATGAACTGTGTATTTAAGGATGTCTCTTGGGTTCATATTGCGCTGGTCTCGCACAAGGGACTGTCGCTTGGGACAGTTTTAATTCTGTAGAGTAGCAGGTTGCTGTTTTAGCAGAAGGGCTATCATTTTGTAGGTTGACTTGGAATCTCACAGTAATGTATCAAAGTAATAATAACTGAAGGAAGAGACTGAAAAAGATATGCTGGCTTTTGAAAATTTTTAATTACTTAAAATATTTTTTTTCTCTTTTTTTAATTCTAGTTATCACAAACATGCCTCTGTTTCTAAATACTGAGTTCTGAGCTGGATGATGTATTGAGGTTTTAAAAATTCCTTGTTTCTCACACAGGAATTTGTATGTGAAGGCCCAGATGGAGAAATAGAAACAATGCCTGTAAGTCAGTAGCCCTTATTTCATCTGAAGGAAACCTTACCTAAAATTCTCTAATTAACGGCAAACTGTAGGTTGTTTGTATTGTGTTGGGTTGGGTTTTTTTCAGCTTTGGACTCCCCCTGTTGCACCTGAGAATCATGATGATGTCTACACTGATTCTGTTACGTGTCTGATGTACAGTAGTACCCCCATTCCAGAGTCTGCGCTTCCACCGCTGTCTGTCAGGAGGGCACTTAAGCGGCAGAGAACGGATCTGTCCTGTAAGTTGGATTCAGAATTGCATGGGAAGGTGCAGTAACGTTTTTGTGTGAAACTATATGAAAACTCTCTTGTGTTTAAGAATTTAGGCCTGAATGTACCATTATCTCTCTTAAGCTTGAAATCGCTCGGACAAAATGCTTGAATGTGGAGTGAGAGCAGAGGGAGCATGCTGTGAGAACTTGCTATTGTCCTGACAACTTAGAAATAAAAATACAGGTGAATTCAATGAGCAGGAGTAAAGCAGTGAGACACCCGTGTGTCCATTTGATCTATTTTTAAGATTATTTTCTTAGCGAAGCAAGGAGCTATTAAAAAATGACTGATCAAGTCAAATACTGTCCTAGGGGACCATAGGTTGAAGGTACCTGCATTCATGAAAATACTGCAAAAGGCTTATTATCATTAGATGATTTGCAGCAAGCAGTTTTCTGTCATGGTGTTGTTCCACAGAGTTCATTTCTCACTGGAGAGAGTAACTTTATCCTGTCAATTAGCTTCAAGTGAGAGAAAGAAGCATTGCCATAGAAGGATGGTTGTTCCTCCACCTTCACTTTTTGAGCCTCCAAGAATATTGAAAACACAAGAGAAGAGCAAAGCCCACCAGACCCTCCTCTGGCTAAAACAAAAAACATATTTTGCAAGACCTTTGTCAGCTCTTACCAAGTCAGCTGCTGACGCTGGGCAGGATGGTCCTGCATGGCTAATTGCTGAAGACTTGGCACTGGTAGAAGTAAGTTGGTACTTTGTTTTTATCGACTTCAAAAACTTTTTAGTTTGCTACAGCATCCATAGAGCTTGATTAATACAGGATTATATGTGTTTATGTAAACAAAAGAAGCATTAATTGAAACATTACACTGTTGTGGTTTCTCTCTGCCACCTAGGCGGTGAAACAGTTACGGATGCTTCCTTTAAACCTTGCTGTCGTGTCACCAGCACAGACAGTAAACTGGGACTTTGTCAGCGACATTGTTAATTCTTGTAACTATGTTTATCGCTCCCCAAAGCAATGCCAACGTCATTACATAAAAGCATTTGCAGGTCCAGAAGCAAAGGTGAGTTTAAGCTGAAATGAGCATTACATTTTGAAGACTGGCTTTCTCTTGTTTTGTTTTCATTTAATTCCTCATTGCTGTTAGTGGACTACATGAGTGTTTAGTAGGCAGAATCATAACTATATTTTAGAATTTTTAATAGCTTGGAATACAAGCAAATGCTAGTACATATCTTCCTCTGTCGGTATGAACTGCTATAGGTTATAATTATTATAGTTTACAAACAAGAATATGAGTTTCCCCAAAGCTGTGACAATTTATTATAGTTTACCAACACTTAAGAATATGAGTTTCCCCAAAGCTGTGACAATGATATGACCTTGGATGTATCTCTTTGCACTATCAGTATGTTTAAAATAAAGAATGGGGGCTATTTATTTTAACTTTTATTAAAGTGGCAGGACATGAATAGTCTTCAGTCAAGACTACTGTAAACTAAGATCTTTGAGACAAGGCACTTATGACTACTTATTTTTGGGTACCTAAGCCTTCAATTTCTATTTATTCCAGAACGCAGGTGGTTATCCTCTTTGTGTTAGACAAGCCTATGCTAAAGACCAGAATTCTGAGCGTACTCAAATCTTTATGAATCACTTTGAGTTGATGACAATGACTGCTAGAAAAAGAAGTTCCTCAAACAGGTTTCTGTAAGTTTACTGCTACTGTCAATGATCGTTTTCCCTGGATTTAACATTTAACCAGTTTGGTGGCCTGATTGGTGAAATTTTTTGCTTTTAAGCAATGTATTTCACGGTGGCATTTCTTGTCAGAGATGCTGTCGTGACCTTCAGATTTAAGTTAGAGTAGTGAATGCGCCATCAAAGAATCGAGGCTGTGCTTGTGCTGATGTAAAGAAAAGCTTGGGGTACTTCAGAATTGCTCCATGGGATGTACCAGGAGGGTCAGCCCAGGCTTTCCTCAACTCATTTCTCAGGTCTAACAATATTGTTGTTGTCTTTCTAGGGAAAGAACTGGCTGGGTTTCCCTGCTGATCCCCAGCTTTGTCAAATCTCAATTACAGAGTCTTCTTGCAGAATTTTAAAATTCTTTATATTAAAATGTCACGAATACTAAAGTAGTTGCATAAAATTAAGTTAGCTTCAACTTCTTCATTTCCTTTCAGTGCAGACAACTGTGACAAACTACTGCCTGTGTCTGAAGTTGTTTCCATCTGCACGGAGCCTACGATGATGCAGGAAAAGGTCAGTTCAGTTTTTCCAGGTGAATTCTGTTTTGTGCATTCTTTTCAAAAACTTTTCAGTTCCTTTCTGTTTCAGATACCTTCTAATTACCCTTTTCCTGTAAAGACAATGGGAAAGGCTGGGAACAAGGGAAAATTACCAGGTTTTTTTGGAAGACTGAAAATTGTTCAGTATGGGTTTTGACTGCCTGATCCCCTTTATGAGTGCATCAAAGCTATCAGCTCTCAGTTGTCCATTCTAGATCTATTCCTTACGGTATTGTGGTTGTCTCATTTTTTGGCATTTTAGCCATTTCAGAAGCAAGCAAACATGATACACAATAACTTTTTGGCAAGTCAGAATTTCTATTGTAATTATTGGTATAGGCAAATAGGAATTCATTTCAGGATAAGCCTTTATGTTACTTCATGGCAACAGTCATGTGTTTGTTCTATTCAGAATTAGAAGAAACAAACCTATTGCTGTAATTTCTACACACACACCCCCCACCCCATCCTTCCTGTATTTCTGTTGTAGGTATTAGCTGAAGAACAAACAGCTCCTCAACTGCAGGAGCAACAGCCCAGCCGGGAGCGAGAGGAGGAACAAAGATTTGGGCAAAGCCAAACCACAGGGAGAAACACAGGTGAGAAACACAAACACCATTGCCATGCGGTGTGCAAATTTGGTTCACTCCTGGAGTTGCAGGCAGGGAAATAACGTTCCTCCCAGCTCAATGAAACTGTGAGCCCAGATTCATGTGCACTTTATGGCATCTGCTGTGACCTCGCTGAGGTGTGCAGGACTCTCAGCAAAGCTGGAGAACTGGGACATTGAGTAGCAAAGCATTTTGTTTCACCTGAGCTAAAGTGAACAGACTTAAGCGTTACCAAAAATACAATCTTATTGCTCAAGGATATAAGAGCATTCAAAGAAAAATTACAGACAAGCTCCTTCATAAAAATACACCATTTTGGGCCTCATCCCAGAGTGGGTTTTATGATGCTGAGAAAGGAATTCCATATATGGAGAGGAACAAATCTCCGTTTATGGTACTAATCCATCTGTACTTGTTCAATGTATTTATCTCCCTCATTGGAAGGATTTCTTGAAACTTCACACCCTCTTTTGTGATCACTTTAGAACACTTGCAAATGTTAGAAGTGCCATGTGTTTTATGTTGCTTTTTGGCACTTCTATGGCACGCTCCTTGCAGCCAGAGCCATGTTGGAGCCGGTGTGGGTGGTACCCCCTGTTCCTGCACTCCTGGAGCCCTCACCCCCAGGACCTGTCTACGAAGGGTTCACTTGTCACCACCACTCTGAGAATGGCTCTGGAGGTGCTTGTGGTGACTCCACTGATACCAGGTGACCTTCCAAATTTTTATTTTCAGTCCACATTGGAAATAAATCCTCACATTTCTATTAAATAGCGTTGCTCGCTTTAAAACTGACTGACAATAAGCGAAAATGATGGGAGAGTAGGCTTTCAGTAAGTCCTTTACTCTTTAGAAAACAGTGTATCCCTGGATGTTGTATCACTGAAGTGTAATTCATTTTAACTGCGGAGAATTGTAAACGGTCATCTTTGTATTCTGTCACTTGTCTTCATTTTTATCTTAGGCAGTTTTTTCTCTATACTTTTAGCTGGTAACCAGTATTCATCTACAATTTAATTTTAGATTTAGTTGCTGGCAGTCCCAGGAGCCGAGCCCTGACGCCCAGACTGTGGTGACTCCTTTGGTGGTGATGGAACCAGCGCAGACATGGCCCCGGTGGCCGCCGCGGGCTCAGCGTGGCCAGCGTCCTTGGTGCCTGATGTTTAAAGCAGCAAAACATCTGCTTTGCAAATGAGAATTGAATGTCGTTACCGAGCAGGTGGAAGTTGTATTTTCTTTATTGCAAAAGAAATTATTCCCTTTTTTTTTTCTTTTGGCAGTATTTTATTGTAATCGAGAGTTGCTTTAGGTTATTTCCTTTTTCTCCCTTTGCGTTATATGAGGCTTTTACTGCCCATGCTCCAGGTGAGCAGTGTCTGGCTGTGCTGCAAGCAGGCAGGTTTTCCCTCTGGATTTTTACACTAAATCCTAAAGAAAGTTGTCAGCGTTTTGCCTGCTGAATTTTGAGTAACCGTTACCTGCCCAGACAGAAGTTACTGGAGACAGAGAAGCCGTGGCTGCCCCATCTCTGGAGGTGTTCAAGGCCAGGCCGGACGGGGCTTTTGGGGAGGTGTCTGGAACGGGGTGATGGTTGAGGTCCCTTCCCACCCGAACCGGACGGCGCACACACTCCCGTATCCGCGCTACAATAAAAGCTAACGTTTTGCCCTGTCCCCGAGCCTGGTTCCTGTCCTGACACCGCGCTCCCCTGTCGCGACACGCCGCCAGCGCTCCCCTCGGCCTGTCCCGGCCCCGCTCTGCCGGCGCGGCGCATGCGCGGGTGTGTGCGCAGGCGCAGAGCGCGGCGGGGGCGGCGGCGCAGGCGGCGCGGTTTGTCTCCTGCCGGCGCTGGTAGCGGCTGCCGCCGCGGCCGCCCCCCGCCCCCGCTTCCTGCCGGGAGCGAATGGAAAGTCCGGCCCCGCCGCCCGCGGTAAGTGGGGCCCGCCGGGCTCGGGGGGCCGCGGGGGGCGGCCGGGCCCCTCTCCTCCCCGCGTTTCCCCCCTCAACACCTCGCTAGCCCCGCAGGCCTCGGGCCCGAGGCCCGGCGGCACCGGTGCTGGCGGCGGCCGCGGAAGAGCGGGCCTTCCCCAGCGCCGCCGCACGGGGCGGACAGGCCCGGCCCGGCCGCGGCGGGAAGGGGTTGGGGGGAAGCGGCGGCGCTTCACGGGGCGCTGCCCCCGCGGGCCGCGGCAGGGGGAGCCCCGCGCGAACTCGGGGCCGTGCGGGCCGCCGCGGGGGTCGGTCGGGGCAGACAAAAGGCGATCCCCTCGCCCCGGGCGGGCAGGGACCGGCGGCGGCGGCGGCGCAGCTGGTGACGCTTCCTTATCAGCGCGTAATTAATTGTTTTCACTCGCGCCGTAAATGTTAGCGAGGTATAGGTAATTAAAATAATAAGGTCTTGTTACTGGTGATGGGTGGTATCGTTTGAATCTTAATTATTCGGTCTCAGCGCTGTGAAGGAGTCACAATACCGCCAAGTGTTGCGGTGCTGCTAAATCCTTCGGTGCCTGTGAGGAGCGGAACGTCCCTGTCCCTTCCCGCTCCGCCGGGCCGTCCCCCGGAGCCTGCCCCGGCCGGGACCCTCAGTCCGGGGCGGGAGGGAAGGTCTCCGTTCCCGGGGCCTCGGGTGGCCCGGGACGGCTGTGTCCCCTTTCCCTGCCCCAGCAGGAGCCGAGGAGCTGCTGCCGGTGGCACTTGCAGCCAACTTCAGAGTCGGGAGCGAAGTCGCACACTTGTGCGTCCGTGCGGCCTGAAATACTCACTGTTGGCTTCAAAATAGGAGAGAGATTTTTCACGAAAAAAAAAAAAACAAAACAGGTTTCATTTTTCTTTTGCTGCTACTGCTGTGTGACACCCAGTGCTGAATCTGTCTGTCGGTGCACATAAGGGGATGTATTTATTAATTTTTTTTTTTTAAAGACTGAAATACAAAACCAGCACGTTTTTGGATTTCTGGATAGCTTGGCTCAATAAACAGCATTTTAAATGAAATGCAGAGTTGGATTAATTCTCATCTCTTTAAGGGGTCAGTGTTCTGAAGGAAAGAGAAGGCAGAGTTAAGTGTCAGTGCAGTACTTTTTCAAACATCTCAATGGTTTGGTAGGGAGATTTTTCATGTTGTGCTTTTTTTCCTCAGTAGCTAGAACAATGAAGTTGAATATCCTTTGTCCATTTTTATCGTATTTTTAGTTATTGTTGAAGAAACCTACTGTAGATTTTAAACAACAGTTGTGTTTTCAAGAACTTCATATTAAGTGTTAAAAACACTGAGACATTGTGCATAACGAACATAAAAGGAGTAGATACATTTGATATTGGTGATTGTTGATTCTTGGAAGTTCCACACAAAAGAGAAAAGGGTTTTTTTAATTATTTGAAGTCATTCTAACTAGCTAAGAGGAATGTGTTATTTATAAACTATTCGATAGTACCTTGTTAGCTAGAGGAATATATAAGGCATTTAAGTGAGCTTTTGTGATGATGAGGATTTCAGAAAATTTGACTGTTGCCATAAAACATTTGAAGTAGCTGCAAAGGTGGATGGCAAAGTTCTTACTGTAAGGTAGTCTTTTGAATAGTAAGTAAATAGTTTCAGTTACAGAAATATTTTTACCTTCCCTAAATTTCTGTTTTTGTGTGTTTCTTTAGAGCGTACGGTAAAAACCCTAGAGCAGTGAGAATGCACCATGGTAATGGTCCTCAGAATGCCCAGCGCCAGCTCCAGAGGTCCAGGTCCTTCACGGGTAGTGAGGGAGAAGAGCAACAGGCAAATTTACCCCAGTCCCCTGCAGCTTCTTTTGCACCTTCTGCAAGCCCCTCTGCGCCCCAGTCCCCCAGTTACCAAATACAGCAGTTTATAATGAGTCGGAGTCCCGTGGCTGGGCAGAACGTCAACATCACGCTGCAAAACGTTGGACCGGTGGCCTCGGGAAACCAGCAGATAACTCTTACCCCATTGCCAATTCCAAACCCAACATCGCCGAGTTTTCAGTTCAGTCCCCAGCAGAGGCGCTTTGAGCATGGATCCCCCTCCTATATCCAAGTCACGTCGCCGCTGCCTCAGCAGGTCCAGTCTCAAAGCCCCACGCAGCCCAACCCCGTCCCCGTGCAAACGCTGCCCAGCGTTCGGGCGGGCACGCCGGGCCCCGGCCTGGGCATGTGCAGCCAGAGCCCTACCAGAGGGTTTGTGGATGCCAGCGTGCTTGTGAGGCAGATCAGCCTGAGCCCTTCAAATGGCGGACACTTTGTGTATCAAGAAGGACCGGGAATTGCACAAATCGCTCAAGGAGCTGCTGCACAAGTGCAGCTTCCCTCTTCTGGGACGCCCGCTACGGTGAGGGAGCGCAGGCTTTCCCAGCCTCACTCGCAGTCTGGGGGCACCATTCATCATCTCGGTCCTCAGAGCCCTGTGGCTAGTGGAGCAAACATGCAATCGTTGACTAGCCCGGGCCATATCACGACGACCAGCTTGCCGCCCCAAATCAGCAATATCATCCAAGGGCAACTTATGCAGCAGCAGCAGCAAGTGCTCCAGGGACAGCAGCTGGGTAGACCCATTGGATACGACAGGACTTCTGGTGGATTGATAGCAGGAGTTGGAGGACCTAGCGCATTTGGAATGACTTCACCACCTCCTCCCACAAGTCCTTCACGGGCCACTGTACCACAGGCATTGTCGAGTCTTCCTCTTACTCCTACAGTTAATACGGCAGTGAAAAAACAACCCAAGAAATTGGAGGAGATTCCTCCTGCCAACCAAGAGACTGCTCAAATGAGGAAACAATGTTTGGATCATCACCACAAGCAGATGGAAATTCTTAAGGAAACTTTTAAGGAATGTTTGATCGAACTGTTTTTCCTGCAACATCTTCAAGGGAATATGATGGACTTTTTAGCTTTTAAGAAGAAACATTGTGTTCCGCTGCAAGCATACCTGAGGCAAAATGACTTGGACCTGGAGGAGGAAGAAGAGGAAGAGCAATCTGAGGTCATCAACGACGAGGTAAGAAATCAGTTGGTTAATGTTTTGTAATAAAATCATAGGCGAAGTTGTGGCACCTGGACCGTGAAGTATTAGAGAATGTGACAGTACCTGAAAAATCATTTTTACTTGGTGAGGTACAGCAATTTCTTTTTCAGTAGTTGGTCTGGAAGAATGCAGTTCTGCTAGTGTGATTCCCCAGGTCGGGTTAGCATGCTGTTAGATGCTAAGTATGTAGAAGAGAAGAAGAGAGAGGTGAAAGGAGCATTCGCTGTCCTAGGTGGTGTGTGAGCCAGCACACAAATAAAGATGGAAGCGGTGTGGAAGGAGTGAATATGAATAGGAATTGTAGATAAACTTTCACTTACTAGACTAAACCGAAAAAGAATGAGCAGAAAGTCTTATAAGAGGTTAACCTCTGTTTGACTTGTGTGACTTCTAACCATAGATATTACTGAAGTTCACTGTTGCTGTGGCCAACAAAAACGCTGAATTAATCTAATTACTCAGAGAGAACGTGTGAATCATAATGTATATGGGTCCCTAGTAATGAATCGGGTTACTTAGGGTATCTTAGAGCTCTGTGCATGTATTGCTGTCTAAATGATTTTAAAAAAGCACTTAGAGACTGGACAGTTACAAGTTAATTTTGTTATTTATGTAAAGTTTTAAAATTACTAACTTGAATCCACTGTTTATTAATGGCAAAGGACTTGAAATACGATTGCCACAGCCAGATGCTGGGCAACTTTTCCTGCACGTTGATTCGCATTCGTGTAGCTCTTGATTTGCAGCACCCATGGGTGCTGGTGCAGCGCCTGCCTGCCAGCCTACATGGCCACTGGCAGATGTAACCGATGCCACTGCATCACTTGGCATGCACGAGTACCTTTTAAAATTTATAAAAATATGTATGGGTCTATAGTTGCCCATTTGTAAAGCACCAACCCAAACCTGTTATGTAAAAGGAACTTGTGCTGCTTTGAAATATCTGGTAGAAATGAGTGTCTTCAGAAAAAATTGGTGACTCTCTTAGGTGTGAATCTTTAGTGATTGAATCTTCAGCTGGAATTTGTGGGAAACTTTAACAATATATCAGCTGAAACTTAAGTTTTCATTGTTTTATGGTCTAAAATTCTTGACTATGGAAGAGGTGTTTCTGCTGGTGATAGTTATGGATAATTTTGAAGGAATCATTTCTTTCTATGCACAGTAGCATAAGAGCTAGCCTGCTATTGTAATTTATTGACAATGGACATTCAGTATTTTTTTTTTCACCTGGTTTGTATT